CAAGGTTCTTGCCATGGCCTCTTTTGAGAATTTTCTTACAAAGGAGGGGTTTATGCCCGTCCATGCATTTCACAGATCAATGGTGAGAATCCCTCACTGCAGATGGAATCATACACCGGGACATACCAAAAAAAACAGAAGGTGCACTGAAGCATGGGCACACTAGAAGAATCATCCACTCCTTCCCATTTCAACCCCCTCCACTCACAGACACACATGGGCACACTAGAAGAAGAGGTTAACTGACACAAGACCAACTGGCCACTCCAGAAATGGGGCTGAGAATTTAAACACTAGATAGAAGAGGTTAACTGGCACAAGACACCTTTTTTCCACACATGACCACACTAGAAGAAGAGGTGAACTGATTCCCCCAACTTTCAGCGTTTAAACTTTCAACCCCCAAAATTGATAAGAAATCCACAAGACGCCTTTTTCCAGCAAACTGGCCACCTAACAACAGAGCAAATACCAGAAAATACAACAGCCAAAAAATACGAAACCTCCCAGCTTCCAGTGCACGTGGTCCGGTAGCACAGTTTCGCCCCAAATCTTCTTCTCTTTGGCCCAATTTTTATTCTCAGGTTTGCCTGGACGATGTGCTGGCGGTTCAACGTTCAACTACTGCGCCCTCCGAACCATCGAGGATCCCTTATTGGGATCCCATTAATGCGATTCCTGAATGTGACATCACCTTAGCGTTGACTGTTAAACCGTCGAGCGCCCCCCCCCTCCCCAAACCACCAGTACACCCAGGCCTGAAGGCGCTGCACTGCATGCCAAGCTTTTCCGGACCGGCAGCGGCGCACTGCCTTTTCTCTTCTGGCTGGCACCACCAGCCATTGTGATCCTGTAGGCCCAAGCAGTGAAATTTTTGGAGTAGACGACGAACAAATTTCTGCAAGGCTGGGGCCGTGTACTGGTGGTTTAAACCACCAGTACCTCCACGATCTTAGGCCGTTAACGCAGTGGACGAATTAGCCTTCCACGCAGAACCAAATTCATTCGACTCAGAACGGACCTAAGAATGCAGTAGGTACAGGTGGTTTAAGGGACCTACACTATAACCCTGAGCATTTTCATTCCTGTTGAGCTAACTGGATATGTGCCAAGCGCTAGGCTACCAGCCGGGCCGCCCGGGTCCCGGGTGGGCAGCCCGTGCAAGGACCAAGGAAGGTCCCAGCAAAAAAAAA